CAAAGTCAGAACCTTCAAAAGGAACGTAAAGACAGTCCTAATATACAGAGCTGAAACGTGGAGAACTACTACAACCATCATGAAAAAGGTATAAGTATTTATAAATAATTATCTGCGCAGGACGCTCAATGTCCGTTGGCCGGATACCACCAGCAGCAGACTACTGTGGGAGAGAAAAGCCAGCTTCCAGCTGAAGAGGAAATCAGGAAAAAAACGTTCGAGGTGGATAAGACAAACATTGAGGAAATCACCAAACTGCATCACGAGACAAGCTCTAACTTGGAATGTTGTAAGAAAATGGAAAAGATGAAGGCCGAAGAACACATTATGTTGAGAATTCGAAGCAGACATCAAAAGGATGACTAGTAATTGGAAAGGATTGTCCAGGACAGAGTTAGAAGGGGGATTCTAATGAGCGCCCTATGCTCCTCCATGAGGATTAAGGAGCATAAATAAGTAAGATCGCGTAGAGATGGACAGTCATTTTAATCACTCTTATTTCATAGATTACTATTTACAAATAAGTAAAAATTAACGAAATTCACTATAATTAGCCATTAATATTTCATATCAATATTCTTATTTGACTCTCATAAAAACAGCCTAATTATTTTTGGGCATGAACTAATGTTGGACATCCAACGATACATCTCAAAGTTATCTTCAAGGAAATACATATTATCATATTGGTAAGCTTGTAAGAATGCTTTCACATGAAATTCTTCTCAGTCTTAATAAGCTTTGTTGAATTTGTAGTTTACATTATGAACTAACTTTAGTTAAGGAACTATTGAATAGTAGGAAGTATTGAATAGTTATTTCGTCTTAATATAGAACTCTTCATCGATGATTGCTAGTTTTTGATTGTTGTCTGACGAAAGTCAGCTCATGATGTAGAATACAAAGTTATATGAATAAAGTCTGGATAACAAGATGTCTGAACAAAGATTTTCATATCTTTCAAGCCAGAAATAAATAATAAAGAAAAGCAAAGATACATTTCATTATTAGTATTGTGTTGTGTGTTACTGATGTCGATAGATGTAAGTAATATGTATCATCAGTCAAAAAAGAAATACTTGGAGGCAGAAGGTTTTAGAAGACTGAAGAGAAGAAAACGAGAATAGAGAATGATTGGTGTGGAAATGAAAGAACAGTGAAAACAGACGATTGACTGATATTTTGCAAAATAAAGTATTTACTGTATTGCTCTCAGATTTTACTAAGAGATTCTGTAGTTTTGTGTTCAAATACATTCGTCTGTCCCCACTTGTGTTCTCGTTCACTATAGTATAAGATTCATCAAGATTTCAAACTTTGAACTATACACAGAAAGTTGAACTGGCTATTTGAACAAGCCACTATTCATCGGGTAAATTTAAATCAAATAATTTATTTTAATAGTTGATTTCATGAGTCCATTGAAGCTAGACAACTATAGAAAACCTGGAAGTACTGGACGGCCGTTTCGTCCGGACACCGAACTCCTTGGCAGTGCGCATCCACGTTCCCGCCCCGCGAGATTCGAATCCCGGACCTATCGGTCTACGCGCGCGAACGCTTAACCCCTAGACTACTGAGCTGGCATCCAGCGGTGTTAATGTCTAACTTCAACTAACCCACGAAATCTCGCCACCGTTCACCATTGTCTTCAGTGAGTTACTATCTCACAACAGACCCTATTGAACTACACTCAATTTCGTGGATTAGTTGAAGTTGGACATTAATACCGTTAGATGCCAGCTCAGTAGTCTAGAGGTTAAGCGTTCGTGCGCGTAGACTGATAGGTCCGGGATTCGAATCTCACGAGGCGGGACCGTGGATGCGCACTGCCGAGGAGTTCGGTGCTAGGATGAAACGGCCTTTCAGTGATTCTAGGTTTTCCATGGTTGTCTAGCTTTACTCGACCCATGAATTCAACTGCTAATTTTGTTTTGTTATTATGTTACAAATATTATCAGATACATTGATTAATTGTAATTAGAAATTATTAAGAAGAGAACCATCATTTTTTAATTCTTCCAGTTGAAGAATATCTAGAGAAATTCTAGTTTTTTTTAAATATTATTTAAATTACTGATAATGTCCGATGTAGTTGCTCCATGAAATAATAATTTTCTTAGCTATGCACTTAATGAAATTATTTTCAAGGGCTTTATGTAAAGTATTTGAAACTCGGATATTGTTAAGTTATACATGTATTCTTGGAAGATATCAAACCACTTGTGATTGATTTCGTTGGTCAATTATATACTGTTAGATATTAGAATGATAATCCGAAGATATGATTTGTTTGAAAATTTATAACTTACATTACGGACTATGTTCGTTGCAGATTGATCTAATTTGAGGTACCATTGAAAATGAGAGAGCACTGAACAGCTATTCCGTCCTAGTAAAGGATACTTGAGTAGTATGTACTTGCGACCCTGACGAAGATCAAACCTAAGACATTCATGTTTTATGCCGAATGCTTAGCCATTCAAATTGCTGTGTGTAAAACGAATTGTACATCGTCAACTTCAATCAATTTATTGTATAGCTCTACAACCAATCTCCACAAAAGCCTTTCAACTAGAACATAAATTAACGTCAGCTCGATGCGTAGGAAAAATCAGGGAGCAATAAATGATCTATCCGATTTTAATTTAAAATTTTGCATTATTCTCAATTAATAATACTATCTACATAAGTTTGCATAAGAAAAATGTAGATACTGGAAGGAAGTGTAAATACCATTAGGGTAACAAGTAGAAGGAAATTAATTATTCATATTTCCATCTGAAGCCACTCTGGAGTTACTGCCGGTCCCCAGCCCGGATAAAAGAGGAGGAGTGAGCATGGGGTTAGCGACCTCATCCCGTAAAAACTAACTAGCTAAAAAACGCTAACCAGAAAAAATAATCCAAACTATCTAAATTTTGCCCTGGGAATTAGTAGGTCTTTATTTAAGAAAGTTATAACGCCTTATGGTGAAAGCCGATTTCCTTCGGAAGTCATCAGGCTGACGCTCCTTCTGACAACCAGCGCCACTATTAATTTAGGTACATGGAATGTTTGTACAATTTGCGAGACCGAGAGAGTTCCAAATTGTTGCTTCAGAAATTTCCAAATTCATTCGATATTTGGTATTTATCGATAAAATCATGGGAATTTTGCATTTAGATCATTCGTGTAGTATAAAAATGCCTAAGAAATATTGACAAATTCTCTATTTAGTATCAGAAGGGGCTTTATGGATATTATAATAATTTCAATAGTTGAGATCATGAGTCAGTTGAAGCTAGACCACCATGGAAAACCTAGAAGCACTAAACGGTCATTTCATCCATGGTGATCTAGCTTCGACTGACTCATGATCTCAAACATTGAAACTTTCTTATTGTTTAAACTAACATCATGTTAGTTTTTTTAAGAAAAGATTTAACTGAGTTGAAAATTTTCATTAGATGGTATAAACGAAACTATGTTTAAGGTAAACTGGTTGGAGGTAGTCAACAGGAAACCCTCGTAACTCTAGGCTTTTGTATTATCTGGCACTTGTCGATAAAGTATATTTACAATCTTAAGAGAATTGGTTTACTGTAACTAATCCATAGCAAAACAATATATACAATATTGAATCAATTAAATTAATAGTTGCATAATAACTTGATAAATAGAATTCAATTAACATTAAAGGTGAAACAAACACGATAGTGATCATTAATCAATAACTAGTCAATAGTATTATGAGCAAAAATTTCAACATATTATACATGAAATATTAAAGGGGGAAAAATGTATTTGTAAAATCTTAGTAACTGAATTTAAAATAAACCTAACGTTTCCCCTGGCAACTCAGTGTCTAAATACTGGGAAATTACTCGATTAAATTTAGATGAAAATTTTTTATTTATTCTTCATGAATATTAAACTTAAAGAGGCATTAAATTTTGAGTAATGTTCTATTACATAGTTTAAATACTGAAGAGATTGAAATTTAGTAACTAGGTCAAGTTTCATTAATTAAACTTTCAGTTATATAGAATATTTCAACAATTAAATAGAATTGTAATTAAATCTGTAACTCTGTTGAATTACAGTTTCACTTGCTTTGTCAACAACAACAAAAACAAAAACACACGACTGAGTTACAATAAAGAACATCTTTGAAACATTAAATGTAGGTAAATGTAGGTAAGATTCATAGACTTTTAGGTGAAACATAGTTTGTTAAAATGAGACAAGTCAACAATCATTCTGTTAGTTATTACCATTTTCAATTCGAAATATGAATATATTTAATAAGTTTTGTATTAAATTCACTTGATATTGATGTTTAGGACATATGTGCATCCTGTAAGGATTGCTTCGATACTGCATTAAGTTACAGGCATTATAAACAAAGTGGCTATCAGGATTCAGTAACTAAATGAATAACACGGTAACATTTGGAATGAACGGTTATGGGTTTAAGTTCCGGAATGAACATCAACTCTAAGATGTAAGTATATCTAGTTGATGAGTTCCGAATAGGACGAAACATACATGAAGGATTGTATTACTAGCCATCATCTATCTTTGCTTATAGGTTTATATTAATTTCAAAAGTCCTATTATCATTTTTAACGAGAACTATAATTTTTTTGTTTGAAATAGTCTCGAATTTAAAAACTGTATCAATGAAAAAACTAACATTAAAATTTCAATAGTTGAGATCATGAGTCAATTAAAACTAGACCACTATGGAAAACCTGGAAGCACTGGATGACCTCAGCAGTGTGCGTCCACGATCCCGCCCTCCGAGAGATTTCAACCCAGGAATTATCAGTCTTTCACGTGAGCGCTTAACCACTAAACCACTGAGCCAGTTGACATCCAACGATGTTAATGTCTAACTTCAATTAATCCACGAAATTGAATAATACATCTAACTTCAATTGATTTATGATCTCAATTATTAAAATTACTATAATATCTACATCTATCAACTAAACAGATTCAATATTTAATTCAATTCATTTCATTACTAAGAGTGAACTTATTAACTTACTAAATTTTTGTAAATGATTTAAAACATCTATTTTTTCTATTGTTTTATCTAATTTAAAATTTAATGAATCCAACATGGAATTATTTTTTCTTCGATACAGTTCATTTATATTATTACTATTATTATTATTATTATTATTATTATTATTATTATTATTGTTATTTTCATTCTTTTTCAAAGATGAAAGAATATGCTCTTTGTTGATATGGTTATTTAAAGATGATGTACATGATGATGATGATGAAGATGATGATGATAACAATAATGATGATAATGGTGATGTAGATTGTTGTTTTTGTTGTAAATAATCCATTGAAATGGATTCATTCTTTAAATGATTATTTAATCCATAATCAATAAGTTGTTTGACATTTCTTTGAAATTCATAAAATTCTATTTGATTACCTGTTTGTTCTAAAATATTCTGATTATTATTATCATCAGTTGTACTACTATTATTGTTATGCTTATTAAATTCTGATAAAGTATTATGAAGTCGAGGATATTTTGTAATATAACATATTTCTTCATTGAATTCGATATTATTTTTATCACATATAGTCGTCGTCGTAGTAGTAGTAGTAGTAGTAGTAGTAGTGGTAGTAGTAGTAGTAGTCGGTGAATAACAAACTCTATTCGGAAGACTTGAATGAAGAGATATTGAATTATTATAATCATTGAGTTGATTATCCAATTTATTTTTCCTAGGCAAACAATGATTAATAATGCTAGAATCTTGTTTAATATCTTCAGTAGAGTTAACAATCTCACCAACTGTAGTGGTACTAGTAGTAGTAATAGTAGTAGTAGTAGTACTATTCGAAATAATTGTAGTGCAAATTTTAAGTTTAATATCTCCATTACCGTTAGTATTAACATTGTCATTAATAGTATTCAATTTTTCTTGTTGATGATTATCAGTAATATTTTGATCATATTCAGATATATTATGTATACAATTCAATTCAGGTAAATTTAAACAATATTGTGAAAGATTTGTATTATTCACTGAATTATCAAATGTATAATGTCTAGATTGATGTTGTAATTGTTGTTGTAATTGTGATATCATAATTAATTTAATTTAAATAGTTCAATTGTAATAAAATAAATAAACTCAAAAATAATAATAAAACACAACAAAAAATCAATATGAACAATAACAAAATGTATGTATGTATGTTTATGTATATAGATCTATCAATATACAAACAAATTCTTCAGTCATTTCATTAATCAAATATTGTTATTTCCCTTTTTTTTTTCCAATGTCTTGTCTAATTTACTTTTATTCAATGTTTGACCTGATATAATTAATGACAAAATGTATAGAATAATAATCAAAAGAACTAGATACAATTAATTAGCTATTTTTCATTAAATTAAATTCCATGGTGAAATCATCTTTATCAACAACCATAACAAAACAAAAAGTGGGCAAACATGAAAAAGGAAAAAAAAGAGTTAAATTAATAGTAGTTAAGTAATTAATCAAATATATCTAATAATTTAGTTTAATATATAGAGAGAGATAAATTAATATGGACGTGTAATCTATGTGATTTTAAACATTCATCATAACCAAATTATTTTGGGATATTTTCGTTGTTGTTGTTGTTGTTGTTGTTATGTAATCGGTAAAAATTAGGTTATCAATGTTGATAACTATAGGCAATCTGTTTATTGTAGTTTTATGAGTTATTATTATTATTATAGAAAATGGAATTATTCAATGACCAATACAAATTTCCCCCCAAAAAATATTGAAATATTGACCAGTGAATAAAGAACATCGGTTAATATGATCAAATGATTTTTATATAATGAAATTTGTCAGCTATTTTTCTGTTACATAAACATCTATGCTATTGTTCAATTTTGTATTCATCTCTTCATTTTATATTTCTTCACCCCCCTAAATTTCTTCGTTTAGTTTTTCCCTTCTTTTTACAATCTCTCTTTTTCTCTCTTTCTCTTTTTATGTCCACCTACATATCCTTTTATACATATTCGTTTTGTAAGTCACTTAATCTATCATCTATCCAGTAGTATTCAAAGGTCGAGCGCATATACGACATCAAAGTAATCTATTATTATTATTATTATTATTATTATTATTATTATTTACTAACATATTATATACCTAAAATATTAATCTAAATAGACACATGTCCCTAAAGATTTGGGATAGTGTTTCTATTTGAAGTAAGTAGTATATTTTCATCTTGGAAAAATCAATATAAACATTTCTAACTCTTACATTAATTTGATTGGTAATTTAAACAAATTATGTTTGTTTTTATTTTATGCTCTTTAAGTAACATTATCTTCATTGGTTGTTAAAATTTGGAAGAAAAATTTGATGTAGACTGATATAAAATATATGTGAGAATGATATGACGGTAAAATAATTTATATGTATAGGGGAAATTTCTCCTAACCAATGACTAGTTCATGAACATTTTGAGATAGTGGAGATTTGTAGCTCAGGTGGATGATTTTGATGGAGTTTTGTTCTCGACCAAACCATCCAGCTCAGAGAACAAAACTCCATCAAAAGTTCATGAACATTTTCTAACAATCTTAATTATTTTTCTAACTATTTGTATTAATTATAAGCAAAGATGAATGGTGGATAGCAATATAATCTAGGACAGGAGTTTCGTCCCACTTGGGACTTATCAACTGGATATTCACTCCGGGACTCAAACACATAGTCGTTCGCTTCAAACGTTATCGTGTTATCCACCTAAATACTGAATCCTGATGGCCACTTCGTTTATAATGCTTGTGAATTAATGTAATATCGAAGCAATCCACATACGATGTACCTATGCTAATAATAGACTGATCAATTGCAGTCTTAAACATCAATAGGAAGATTTATGTAAACAATACCAAGTGAATTTATTTGTATTAATGTAGGAGCATATAAGAAACAATAGCTCAGATTATTTAAGTATGTTTTAGTCAATGGATCATCATTCAAGTTACCTACATAGTGAAATCGAATATTCAAGTTTCATAGTAAAAATAACGATTTAATAGTCAGTGTTTACCAACTTTAGTTAATTTGTTATTTGATATGATGATTCGTTAGTCCATTATTACTTAAGTAAGCAATATAAGATAGTCATAAATGACTGATTTTATGAACCGGATTTAAACTAGTTAGGGTAAAATCTACGCTTTTTGTCTCTCTAATGCACTATTTCAAAAGTGGGAGATAAAGTTTACCTGGATATATAATAAATCTTGGAGAGTAGTGTCGTCCTGATACAGGACACTGCAGCAGTAAGCGATTGCGATCTTGAGACAGATCAAGTTCAAAAGTTCCAGACCTCGTGGTGGGTACCTGACAATCATATTTCTAAGTTAGAATCTAGTCGTTCAAGTTTCTTATTCCAGTCAACTCGTAGTATAGTGTGGCGATTATCCAGTGATACTAGTGATGATTGGTTAACTGCCAAAAAATATCTGAACTGCACAGATCACGAACTAAATAAGAGTCATGGTTTATAATGATAAAGAGTTCAATAATAGGACGTAAGAGAAGTTCAATACTCCTTAACTTTTAAAGAAAACCTAACTACGCTTAGTGCGTGATGTATACCACTAACAAAATAGAACAAGTCTCTACAAAATTCCTTCAACTGAACTATATTTATTTACTGACTAAACTTATTGATGATTTTGGGGAAACTCATGTCTTCAATAAGTAATTGAGAAAGAAAATTTGCATCTCACTTTCCAATGAATCATATTTCTAGATATTTGCTTACGTTGTAGTGAGTCATTCTCGTTTGATAATGAAATTATGTCATTTTTTTAATCTCTCAGAGCCATTATTACATTCCATTGTAGGCTAATGAACAACATGTCAGGAGTCGAAACAAGGTAATTTCATAATTATATTAAATATGCTTTTATTATCGTTAGTATTCAGGATCAAAATAATTACTTTGCTGAGTTGCCATATTTTTGATTATATATTAACTTAGAACTTTATAATATTTTTAACGGTGATTGTTGGTGACACAGATTCTGTTTTATCTTGAACTAGTCATCTGAATGCATTTATTTATAGGTGTTGATATTTACTACTGAATTTGAATTAATACCTGTCACTTTGTAAGGACATATTAACAATATAGCCGATAATATATTGATATGTTTGTGACTACTACAATTCAGTAGGACTAGTAAGTAATACTATTAATTGGAGTAATTAAATGGAGTGATGGGTATTTTCAGCAATTAATAAATCTGACTTATTACTTATCTTGAAGAAAAATATACTTACAATTACTGTGTATATAAATTCAAGTTAATGTGAAAATTATGTTTGAAATAATCTCAGCGATTGAAATTTAAATAATTCCAACGTTTTGTCCAGCTAACTTGTTTGGACTTCTTCAGGGTACAGACAAGTTAACTGGAAAAAACGTTGGAATTATTTAAATTTCAATCGCTGAGATTATTTCAAGCATAATTTTCGATATAATAACTCCTCTATACTCGGCGTCCAATTTCTGTCAAACTATTCGTTCTAATCTTGACGAATATTCGTATAAATTCTAGTAAATGGTTATCAAATTTTAGTCTTATAACTATACTACTTTGAGTAGTATGAATTTATTGCTAAAACTTTCCGATTGAAATAGCTTTCCATACACAATAAAAGTCACCAATAATATTTATGCCTATATACTTGAAGAAAAAATTATCCAATACTCTATGCAAAATTCTTTGAACGTGTAATGTTTCGACTCTTTTTTTTATAAAAAATCACTCATATTCAATTCCAAATACATAAACAAAACCGTACAATACTCTTAAACATTTCTGCTTAACTATATTTTAACTTGGAATAATATCAAATTAAAAGCATATATAATATTTGTTTGGATAATATCTCACGGCGAGACTATAATTTATAGGCAAACCAATCACGTATGACATAACAGGTCTCGGATTTTGGCGCGAAATTCACTCATTGATTTGAATAAATAGAGTTTTGGCATTATAGCTGATGTCAGTTCGTGATGAATACCCTAAATCTATTTTCTAACCTTAATCATCAACTGTTAGTCACAATTCTAATTTCTGACATAGATTTATAACCCTCATTTGGTCCTGCTTATCAGGTGGACACTCTCAAGTTCAGTCTAGAGTTACTCAAAGATGTGCATAAATTATAGTCTCACATATCTCGCTTCTATATAATCACTAATATATATTTCATCACTTCCAAGCAAATTCTGTTTCCTTCAGATTGAAGAATATTTGTTCACAAAATTGTTATTTGCCTTTCTCCATACAGAATAGCTTTAATAAAATTATTGAAAATATACTAGACGGAGGACCATTCATTGAGATCAAACTATTGCTTAGAATAACTTTTCTAAACTTGGCCATTACTAGTAGAGATGAGTAGGTCTATGAGATCGTTTAAAAACATGTAGAGAACCATTCAGAAGAGAGATAATTCTAGTACTTTGTATTAGAATATTAGACAATAGAAATTAAAATGAAAATCAACATACTGTTTAAGAAATTTAATTACGCATTATTCCTGACGTTAGTCACAATAATGTTCTTATCGAAACCTAATCAACAATATTATCGATAGACTTTATCTCCGAAGAATGAATTTTCATAATGTCCGAAAAATTATAAAGCATTCGTACTACAGTTTAACATTCTGACTACTTAATTCATTCTCAGCAATGAAATCTCATGATAAATCATTCCTTGAATCTACTTGCAATTTTTCAAACAAAAACCTTTTAAATGTAGAATAGAGGAAATCTTAAATTGTAGTGATTTGTATGAAAAGATATACTTAAAACAGAACAACTTATTTATGAATAAAATATAATTATTTTATTAATTTCACAGTTCTAGTTATTAATACGGACATAATGATATTTTCAAACAAATTTATTAGAGGGGTTTAGATTAGTAAATTAGAGTTTGGCACATAATATATTAGTGATGCAATTTTGCTTGAATATACATGATTTACTGTCTAAAAATTTGTTGCACGAATCGAAGTTCAGAAAAGTTTTG